AAACTGCACATCTGAGTGGCCAACCTTCGATGTGGGCTGGCCACGGGATTGGATCTTTAACCTAGAAATTATCTTACAGGTTTAGGATCGGGTCTTTGACAAGGGACCCCATGGACACCTGGACCAGATAGCATACATTGTTATTTGGGAAAATTTGGCTAAAGACCCCCGACATGGGCAGCCCGGTTTGTGACTCTCTGACCTCCTCTGAAGGCAGTCTTGGAGAAAGCTGTCGGCTCCTCCCCTACCCCCTTCTTCACCCTTGGTCCCTGTCCCAGCTCCAGATCATCATCTACTCCTAGATGATACAGTTCTCATAGAAATATTACAAGGGGAAAACTACAAGTAACAAGTTTTGTAAAGTTAATTTAAATTTGCTAATAGGTTTTCATGTTCAGGATAAATAATTTTTCAACCTTGTTGATAAGGTGACTTTCACATTAAGACAGCTGTTGCATGCCAATTTTTTTTATGTGTGTGTACAATTGGTTGAGTATCTAATATGCCCCAGGTTCAGTAACTAAACAATTCTTTTTATAAGTTGGTCCTATGGCTGAGGACTTTGGCCAAGCCTAGCTAGTCACTGGCCCATCTTATCCCTCTGTCTCTGTTCTTGCCCGCCTATACACGTGGAGCAGGTCAGGGGTCTTCTCTTGCTGCCCTAAACAAATGGCATGCTGGGCAAAAGTCTCTCCCACCATGTGCCATGGTATAGAACATGCTGCAACAGGGTCTCCTATCCCTGAGCATGCAGTGAGGCAGCTGCTCTGTTCTCCAACTGCTGCTGCAGCCCTCACAGCTTCTCTGATCTATCAGGTTTTCACCCAATATCTGACTTCTGAGTCCTTATTGGTATAGGTAAAAAAAACAACACTATCCATTCTGACCCTGACAGCAAGGATTTCTGTATGACTGACTTTCTGATGACTACATAGCAAATTAACCCCTCCTAAGAAAGCCAAGCTCTACAGCTGTAGCTGGACTTTTTCGTCTGGACCACCAGCTCCCAATAATGAAATAGAAACTTACTATTAATTGTGAAAGCTTTGCTGATAGCTTGGGCTTGTTTCTAACTAGCTCTTATAACTTAAGAAGCTGTGAGGTGTGCAGGATGTGAGGATGGGGATCTCTCTCTCTCTCTTTCTCTCTCTCTCTCTCTCTCTCTCTCTCTGTCTCTATCTCTCTGTCTCTCTGTCTCTCTGCCCCACGCACATGGCGTGCTGGCAAAGGATCTGCCAGCTTTTCCCTCCACCAGAGCTCCCTGCTCAAACACACAGGGCTGGAGCAGGTAAGCCATTTGGCCAGATCCGGTCTTTCCACAGAAACTAAATGGCTTTAAAGTTATAACTACAAGAGAAAAAAATGTAAACTGTTTACTATGATGTTTCATTTCTACAAATGCTAAATTTTAAAAATTAATTTCTCAAAAATTATGTATGCTTGTTTTGTTGAAAAGTTCTATCTGTATTTTCTGTCATAATCTAAGTTTTATTACAAGCATAAAGCTAAAACCAAAGTGGTGCAGGTTGCCACTGTTTTACAGTCAGTCACATGCCAAGCTGGCCACATGGCTGGCTGGTAGCCATTTTAAAAGAGATACCTGATCCACCATCTTAACTAAAGGTGACCACATGGAAGTTATGAGGTACCATCCTATCAACAAGTTTTTATTCAGATTTAAAATGTTAATGCTTTTATACACAGGAATGCTAAGTTTTATAATTTAACAATCACCCAGATAATAATGGTTTTAAAGGCCTTTAATTTTCAATATTAAAAAAAAACATTAAGGGATTTCAGAAGTTTTTAAAATGTTTTCAATTTATAAGGTTATAAGATATTTATACTGTTAAAATGTTTAAAGCTAGACCTAACAATATATAGTTCTAGTTTTATAAAGGTTAATAAAGTTTATACTTTCAACAGTTAAGCTTAAGGCAGACAAACCTCTAATACTTCAGAGACCTGCAGAACATGGCATTTAAAATGTTAATTTAAAAGTTTATAATATCAGACAGACTTCCAGATCCTAACAGTGACCCAAAGTCTCCAAAGAAGATTACAAGGCACCCTGGTCCCTACACCTGGATTGTGTTGACTCTGACCAGTGAGCAAGATGCTCAAAGGTGACACCTGCTGCTGCCAGGACCTGGCCCAGAATGTGGACAAAGCTGCTGGACACTGGAAAATTGATTGCACCCCTTTTGACAAGACAAAACAAGGTCAGTCTTTTCCATGTCCCTCTTCCACAGAGAGAAAGAAAACTCACCTTACAGGCCTGGTAAAGATTGATACTGTTCCTGATACTTGTGCCTCCAGTGCTAGTAGAGGAGACTTGGGTATGGCTGTATATGGGCTGGTACCTGGCACTTTTTAATAGATTTGGAGACTGTATAAAATTTATCCTTCTCAGATCTCTGAAAGTATTAATGGTTGTCAGGTTGACAGCATCAGGCAGCCAAATCCACAAGACTATAGTCAGCTTGGTTGCTCATTTTATTTATGTAAAAATCAAGCCTTAATATGTCTCAATAAGGATCAAAGGATGTAAATACTTGTTCAGTCATAAGCTCAAGGTTTTCAAGTTTATTTTGGTTGTCATCTAAGTATAAACATAAAGGGCTTTTCATCATGCCATAGATACCTCTGTCCAATTCATACTTGGCTCCCTGGACAGAAGACAAATGTACACTACTAGCCCAAATCTGTAGTTTCTGCTAGGACAAAATACAGATACCCAGATATCTGCTTTTTCTACAATGTAGATTTCAATACCAATTGATAATGCTACTGTACCTATAACCTTTATGTCCTTTTGTATAACAAAATTTATATAGGCTTCAGAGGATCAAAAGTCATACAGCTTGGATCTACTTCTCACAGGTCAAAGAGGACTCCAGATAAGTACAGCCAGTTATCCCACCTGTCTGTTCCTGAGAATGAGATTTTCTCTCCTGGTCATGGGATTCCTGACCTTCCTGATCACTAACACTATGGGTCTAAAGTGTTCCAATTAAATACATAAGTTTTAACTTCTGTTCCCAGTTTTAAACATGTCTTAAACAGGTTTCCACTTCTGGCAAACACATCTGAACATCAGTTGCTGACCACAGCCTGCTCCTAAAGACTGTGGGCCCTAGACTTGCTGTGGATGTGAACCAGTTCAGCTGATGTGGTCACCCCCTGTCTCTTCAACACAGTCTGCCAATCAGCTGCTCCTGGATAGATACCCCATTGCCTAAATTCCCTTTTTGCTTTTGACTTGCATTTCAGCCTTCTTGGGTTCCCTAACTTCGTCCCAAAGTCAGCAAGAAGTAGCATGGAAAGAAATACATCGTCCTCTTTTCCCTGGTTGAGATGCTAAGTCAAAAGAAAAAAAAAATTCCCTTACATAGGGAACAATATAATAAGAGAGGGAGACATATGTGCCACTCTCAAAGAGGAATTTTTTTTTTATGCAGACAAGACTGGGGTAGTACCCGAAACTCTGGATAAACTCAAGGAGAGGCTCACTGTTCGTCAGAAAAAATTTAAATCCCAACAATACTGGTATGAGGGTTGGTTTAATAAATCCCCCTGGTTCGCTACACTAGTCTCTACTCTTATGGGCCTCCCAACCTTTGGGCCCTACATTCACAAACAATAATTCAAGCCTTAGTCCTAACTCAACAATACCATGCCCTCAAACAGATGGAACCATAAGTAAACCTTAAGTAGAGAGGGCTGGACAATAGGTAAAAGATTCTACCTATGCACAAGAACAAGGGGGGGAATGAAAGACCCCTACCCAGGGCCCCCCCTAGGAAAAGAAAAGCAAGGCCAGGCTGTTGCCTAATGAAAGAAACCCAGACCAGGTGTCTCACCCTCAAAACAGGATGTCTGTGATCACTATAGCAGTCATGGGACCCGGATAATAATTGCTGAAGCGTGCTGGGAACTTTCATATGACAATACCAGGACACCTAGTCCTTGGCAACTACCCTTGCCCCCAGTTGTGGTGTCTATGATCACCATAGTAGTCATGGGACCAGGATAATAATTGCTAAAGTATGCCTGGGTCTTTCATAAAGTAATACCAGGAAACTTAGTCCGTGGGAACTACCCCTGCCCCCAAGATGAGCCAATGAAATGCCTGTTACTTATGTAACCATTGAAACTCTATAAATATTGTACTCCCTGAAAGCCCGGTATGCTCTGCACCCGAGTTGCAGTAGCATCCGCAGGCGCCTGTGTACTCAATAAATCACCTCTTGCATTTGCAGCCAGTGGTCTGGCCCCGGTTCTTGGGCAGACGGTTCGGTTCAGTGCCCGGCGCTTTGATGCCGAGGTTTTTCACACTTATGCCCAGACTTCAGATGTATACACTTTAAGAGTGTTTCATTGTAATCCCTCTTACTGGAGACATTAAAACAGGAGAACGCAAGTTAAAAGCTTGCCTGGACAATTTAGGGAGAGTTTGTCTGAAAGTAAGAAGACAAGAAAGGGTGCTAGAGTGTGCTGGGTGGTAGAATGTTTTCCAAGTATATGCCAGGCAGGAGGTTCAACCCCAGCCTTAGGGTTTACGGCCACCAGGGGGCGTGCAAGCCTTCGCAGTCCGCATGGGGCACAGCGGCAGAAGGACGTGAGACAAGGAGTTAGAGTTGAGAACTGCGTACAGCCCGAGCCCTGCCTTACTTGACTGTCGTTGTGGCAGCGGAGGAAGTCAGCTGGGGAGTGCACATAGCAGAGGGCAAAGTCCGGTTAGAATTAAAGTATCTATGACCTTTAACACTGAGCGCAACGCGCAAGATCCTTCCTGACCTTGAGACCTAAGTCTTTGCTGGCTCCAATTGTTGACCACCACCCACCCGCTTGATACGCAATTTGTTATCCAGACTCAGACAGGGAGGATGCCGGGGGTGGGGGTACGGCTGAAGAGGGAGGGGCGGTGAGAGGAACCACACTTCTGCAAAAAATTCTTCAAATCCCGAGGCTCTTTGCAGCAAGGGGATGGGTGGGGTTTCAATTTTCCAAATCAAACGTCTTTATTCTACAGCCCTGCCCTGTAGTTACGAGTCAGTCGCTTCTTTCTCTCACAGGCTTCGCTGCAAACTGCTAAGTGGTTTCTGATTTATGGCTATGGGAACGGAATCCTCTAGAGGAACAGGATTTCCCTAACAGTTATTCAAATTGTTAGTAAAAGGCGACCGAACCGCCTCCAAGAGTCCTATGGCCACCACCAACATAACCCCCAAATTCCTCGCCGCAGCCCAGCCCACTGCGTCTCATCTCCAGGTCTCTGAGCCCGGACTTTGCAGTTCTGTCCCTCGCAGCTCCCTTCTTTGAGGCAGACAGAGTATCTCTTGAGCATCATCGGAACGTTTCGCCCCAGCACAGGGAGCAGGAACCCGCTTGCTTTTAACCGGGCGAGTCCGCGGAGGGTTGGTGGACATGGGCCGTACGGAAAACACGGAATCGAAGCCGGACAGATCCCTCCTCCTTCCTCTGCCGGGCGGGGCTGGGAACCCCGGAATGCGAATGCTGCCCGGGATGCTTTGACATACCGGGTGAGGTCGGAGCGCGAGGGCCCTTTAAGCAGGAGCGCGGGGCGCGGCCCAGGTACGGGGCGGGCCCAGGGGCGGGCGGGCGCTGAGCCGCCGCTGGTCCGGGAGCCGGATTTGGAGCGCGGCGCCGGCGGGGGCCGAAGGGGGCGGCGCGGCGGACCTCGGTGGCCTCGGACGCTCCTCCTCGTGAGCGGCCGCCGCCCGCCTCCGCCCGCGCTAGCAGCTCCCTCGCCCCGGCCTGCACCCGCTGCCGCTCCAGGTCGCTCACCTGGGACGCGCTCACCTGGGACGCGGTGCGGCCGCTCGCACTTGGGCCAGGATGAAGGACCGGCTGGAGCAGCTGAAGGCCGTGAGTTTGCGGTGTCTGGGGATCTGGAGGGCCGGGGGCTGTGGGGATCCGCCGCCAGGAGGAGTGGCGTGGGAGAGGGGCTTCCCTTAGCGCCCCTCATCCAGGCCGCAGGGGTGCTCTGCGAGCTAGGCCTCCCTCTTTAAGCCCCCGCCTCATCCCGCGGAGCTCTGTACCCTCCCCTCCCCTGCAGGGTCATGTGCCCGGTGATTCATCACCTAGCAGCGATTTCCCTGTAGTCCCGTAACCCTCTCATCCCTGCTCCACCCCCTCACCCCCGAGATGGACAGGGTTCCTCCATAGCTGGACCCACCCCGGTAATTGAAATCAGTGGGGCTTATGGTAAAGTCAGGGGACTCAACCTCACCAGCTGCCTTCTGCCGCCTGGCACTGTGCCCCAAATCGGCCTCCTCTCCTCTTCCTTATTTCCTTTCTGGAGCACCGGGCAGGGCTACCTCATCCCCGGAGTAGCTGAGAGTTCCGGGTGACTTCTGGAGCTGTGAACTTGTCACGTGCTGGGATGGGCTCCCTTCCTGCCGTCCGGTACGGTGGTCTCTGATTATTTTTCCTTGCATCCCCTGAGACAGCTGTGGTCGTGTCTGCCACTCAAAAGCTTTGAAAAGCTTACTCTTTTGAAAAGCTTAGATCACTTACTCTTTTCAGTCTGTTTCCTTGTCTCTCAAGTGAGAATCACCCTCTTATATGTCTCTTAGGAAGACTGAATGACACAATGGGACTTGATATAGGGAAGTGCTGAAGTATGAATTTTCGAGATATAGACTCAATTAGTAAGTCATTGAGTACACTGTACGGCACTGGGCCAGTGTGAAACTTTGGGGACCCATCCAGTGATACAGGGTGCCCCTTAATGGAATATAAAGTCCAGCCCTGGATATTGGCAGCCGAGTCCCATCTACCTGCCAGCCTGGAAGTGCATTAGTTTAGCACCCCCGCCCCCAGACCTGGTGATTATGAGCTCCTTAGAGTTGGGAAGTATTAGTCTGCATTAGCACTGGGGCTTTGTCCTTTCTGGTCCTGCTGCTTACTGGTTACCCTTTAAACTCCAAGCTTAAGTTTTGTTATTTGTAAAATGAGTAGTTGTGTAAGCTAAAAGCAAGCAAGCCGGCAGAGGACCCCTTTGTATGATTTAGGACTTAATAAATAGTAAGTGTTATGCTAATGACTGCTTTAAAAAAAATAAAAACAGAAGTGTTGGTGACCAGTGGGTTGGTGTTGTAATTGTTTTATTTTCTCCTGCCTTGCTAGGGTGAGGTCTTCCTGACACTGGTCATATGCGCTGGGTACTGGGATGCAGTGTAGGCTTAGAAGCAAGAGAAGGGATGGGCAGTTGCTTATATAGTGGGAGTGAGCTTCTGTCCCAATTTGCTCCTTTTCGCTTGAGCCTGGGCCATCCTGGTTAACTAAAGTGCAAAATTTACTTGTCTCTGCTTTGTAGGTGGGGAAACTGGAGCTCCCTCTGGTGGTGGGGTGGGGTGGGGATGCCCCCTGTCGAAGAGTTCAAAGCTGAACAGCAGTCACAGGCAGCTCCCTTCCTTTAGTTGAGGAATCTGTTTCTGGACTGAGGTACTCCCTGGCTCGTTTCAGTAGCTGGTTGTCGATTGAGTAGTCTTAAGTGAGCATTGAGTTCCAAGAAGAAGGCATTTTCCAGGAAACTGGAGCAAGTCCCTGTGCCTTTCAGTCCTTGGGGTTACCCTCTGTGAAGCAGGGCTAACCCGGGATGTGGTGAAAGTGAGATGCTGGACGGTGCTGCTATTATGGCTGTGCTCTCAAACCACAGGGAGGCTGTTTGGAGCCTTCTCTAATTGAGGCCTTGGCACTTAATAGCTGGGATCCTTTTGCAACTTCACCTTAGTGTTGCTGCAACTGCTTCTGCTTGGTTATTTCTGTGTATTCATTGACAATTTCATACACGTATGCAATGTATCTTGATCATATTTGACCCAAATCCTCCCCCCACTATCCTCAGATAACCTTGAATACTCCCCCCCTTACACTTTCATGTCTTCTTTTATTTTATTTTCCTCTTTAAAAATTTTATATAACCACTGAGTCTAGTAAGGGCTGCCTGCATGCAAATAATTATGGGGCCTAGTAGGTCCAGAAGGAAGAAAAAAGATTCTGTCTTTCCGAGAAGCCATCAGCTGCCAATAGCTCCTCACCTAGGGCCTGAGCCTCATGAACCCTCCCCCATCCGTGATGGAATGCTGACTGACTAGATTTTGTGTCTGTGGGTTCATGAGTGCTACAGTCAGGTCATGTCCAGAAGATAGTATTTCTGGACATCCTGGCTCTGAGACTCTTCCTGCTTCCTCTTCCACCTCATCCCCCGAGTCTGGATTCTGGTGATACAAATGTCCCTGCTAGGGCTGAGCACCTAGCTGCCCCTCACTTCCAGACCAGTTAGGAGTCTCTTCGTTGACTGCTGCCCACTGCACCAAGAAGCTTCCCTGATTACGGTTGAGAGCAGTACTGATCTATGGACATAGGCATAAACATCTAGAAGGCACTTAGACAGCATAACCATTTAGGAAAGGTACCCTCACCTCCAAGCTTCTTGATGCTTCCTTTGTTGAGCAGAAGTCAGTTGGTCTCAGAAGATGCTTCTGTCCCTACTCACGGTTTCTGGAAGGATGTTCAGGTTTCTGTGCGTTACCAACCATTCTGTGCTTCTCCCACCTGTCTGTCCCTTATCCCAGGAGCCAACTTTTTTTTTGCAACATGATAGGGCATGGTCTCTCTCTGATTCCTGTTATCTACACAAAACATTTGCTAACCTGCATGCAATACATTTCCCATTGAGCAGCCTGTGCAATGTCTTTCTAAACCCCAGGGGGGAGGGGGTGATGGCTGCCATCAGATAGCTGGGGCTGCCCCATGTGCTTGAGACTAGTTTAGCTGTGAGTAGATACGAGGGGGAAGATGCGGGGTTTATGGGTAGAAATCAAATCTTTAAGGAAGTAGTTTAGAAAATTGTTTTTAGCAGCTAGGTGTGGCGCACACTTTTAATTCCAGCACTCAGGAGGTAGAGGCAGGAGGATCTCTGTGAGTTTGAGGCCAGCCTGGTCTACAAATCAAGTTCCAGGACAGCCAGGGCTGTTACACAAAGAAGCCCTGTCTCAGGGAAAAAAATGTAATTAGTTGTTCAAGGATTGGGCAGGGCAGCTGAACAGGTACAGAATCCTCCAGCATGAGAGGCAAGCAGGAAGATTGTTGAGGTATTGAGTGCTGTAGGAATTTGAGCATCTCTTGAGGGAGGGAAGAAGTGTGAGATTGAAGGCCTCCATGAACCTTGGGAGTGTCTGGTTCTGTGAGATGCTTTTTGTTGCCTTCCCATTCTGGAGTCCACAAGGTACTAGAGTCACACCTCTCACTCCGTCTTTCCCCCAGGGTCACCGTGCAGGTAAAAAGAGATAATCTGTGACAATCTGTGATGGTTATCTACTAGAGCACTTGGGAGCTGTCCATACTTAGCTCCCTGGGAGCAATGTCCTTCCTAAACCGCGGGGTCTAAGGCTGTAGTCACAGGACCTGGCCTACCTTATCTCCTGGCTGCTCCTCCTCAGGGGCTCCCATCAGCAGTTTCTTGTTGACTTAGAAGTTTGTTGGGAATGTGCAGTGACTGCACCCAGCCTTCTGCTCTTCTCACCCTTTTTCTACTGGCTGAACTTTGAATCTGCTGGACAATTCCTGGCCCAGAAACCTTTTGTGCGCTCTTGTTTATATTCAGTAAACATTTACTAAGTACCTATTGTGTGCCAGGCCCCACAGTAGACCCTGGGATGGAGTATGGAGCAACAGTTGTTTCGGGCACTTAGGAAGTTCACAGTTGGGTAGAGAGAACAGAGGAGTAGCTTCAGGAAGACCCCGCTGACTGGCCTCTGGGAGATAGATGAGTCTGGGGGTGCTATTGCCAGCAGTACTTTTTCAATGGAGGTCACTCTTCAAATCTAATATAGTCTCTTCAGATGCAAGTAGAATTTATTTGAAAGAAAATGTGGATCCTAGATTTTCTCTCCCTTTTGGTGAGTGCTTCATATCTAACACATCAAGAATAGAAACATGCATGCTAACATCAAAAGAGGGGTGTGGTGTGGTGTGGTGGTGTATGGTGTGTGTTTGTGTTTTCAGTACATCCTGTTCAGCATAATCAGAACTTTTAGCACCGTATTTAGCTTGTATCCTGCCCCATAAGAGGTTTGGCAGAACTATTGTACAAAGTCTTTATCTTAAAGGGCAATTGGTCAAGTAGGGAAAACAAATGTATTTCATGGAAAGAGAAACAAAATAAAACCTCATAAAGAAAACTTAGTAGCCAGTGATGTATAGAATCAGGGTCAAGATTTGGGCTCCCCAAGACACCTACACTCAAAACTAAAATGACTTGGATGTATTGGGCCTTCTAAGACTAGGACTATTAGGGAACAGTAATGAATCAGCCACTCTACAGCCTAGGCTTAACATTTCATCTGCCTGTCTTGGTCTAGCTGCTACCTAAAGACCTGCCATGTCTGTCCCCATCAGAAGATCTGGATCTCTGTGCCAGCAGAAGTCCTTAGGGTAATGTCCTGTAATCCTGTCAGAAGTAGGGGCTACATTTCATCAGTGAGTGAATGTGTGCCTGTCCCTACTCTGGGCCTTGGACCATAATAAATCTTACCATACGAACTTGTCCTTTGTTGACATCCCGTCTTTCTTTAGTAATGGGATTTCTCACCAGTCTGGATCCCCTCATCTCCTCCCGGTACCAGGGAGGATTCATTTCCAGGGAGAGCTGTTTTGTTGCTGGCAGACAGAAGCAGACATGGGAGTGATAGGGATTGAGTAGGGATTAGAGAGCCATCAGCTGGAGGCCAGAGAGAAAATGCTTGGATGAGAGGAGGGGATTAATTTTATTTTTATTCCTGTGAGCTTGGGGGAGGTTAGGGGACTGGCAGGAACTTGTCCATACTGTCCTCTCTCCCTCCCAGTGCCTCCTTCCTACC